GTTTTCTTCTCTAGCCATGATGGAGCTGAGAATAAGGCTTCTTTCGGAACTAAAGGATTATTCGTTGTATTGTTGTGAAAAGGAAGAGTTCCAGTTCCTGTTTTGGCTGGGTGCTTTAGGGCGGTACGGTAAGGGACCGAACCGAAACAGCGGTCAGAAACTTGGGGAGTGTACTGTAATACACATGACGGTACGACTACGAGTAGTACAGTACATAACTTACTGCAGTGATGATTAGTCTAGTTAGTCTGCGGTCGGTCCCCCGCCCCTCCTCCTTTTTTCCTTCTCTCTTAGCGTCTCTTGCCACGTTTTTCACGATCCCAATCGGCGCGGTGCATTGCCGTCCGCGTCTTTCCGTTGCCGCCAGAACCCACACCTCCAGTCAGCTGCGTGGTGCTCTCCAGCCCCTTCCGCCCGGTCGCTGGTCTCCGAATTCTCCAGAGGTCTCAGCTTCTTCCTTTTTCTTTTTGTGGTCCGTTTTGTCCTCCTTGGCTCCACTGCGGCCAACCGTCGAGTTTGTTCGTGTTGTCTGGGCGCTCGCCCTTCCAGAGAGATCCCAGACCTCCCAGTATGTACCATGGTTCCATGGTACAAAGCGGTCCCGATGAAACTAGACGCTGCGAGGCAAGGGGACCGCAACTCACCAGCACCAACCGCTTACCCATACTCCTCTCTCGCACACACACACTCTCTCTCTCTCACCCTCTTTCTCTCCTTGGTGATCATTGAATCAATCGAAGTCTTCCTGAGAGCAGCCCAATCTGAGGCGTGGTCCAGCCCTTTCAATCCCCTTGGACATACCGCCGTCGAAATTCCCCTTTCTCAAGCGTGGGAAGCACCGCATCTGGCCTGGGATACGACACCATTCTTTTCGCTTCTTTTGTCCAAGCAAGGACCGTTCTGGTGCGCGAAAGCCGCACTTGTCACTGGCCCATGACTAAGTTTCTGCCTTATTTAACTACCGTCGCCCTGCTAGGTGGGATCATCGATCAGCCCGCATACGGTTTCGGTCACGTGAGCACTGGCCGGCCGATGGGAGCGCTGCCTGTCTCTACTCTATCGGCCCAAAGGGACAGGGCGAGTGGGAGGGGCCGCTTACTCGCTCCGGGAATTAATATCTTGGTGATGTGTTCGAGGCGGATTGACAGGGCAATCTGGCCTGTGGCTTGGTGGCTTGGCTTGGGACGGTGAACCAGCAGCAAGAGCCGAACAAAAGTGGCATGTACGAGGTCCTGTACCTGGAAATCGGCGGCCTTACCGTCGCTCTTGTCTGTGCTGAGCTTGAAGCACAGTACATCACAATCGTATGTGTGATTTGACGACCGGATCCCATCGATCCACACATACATACTCAACCCGTGACGTGGCCAAACGAGGGGAGCGACCAATCTGTGGCTCTGCCAAAACTGCCCTGATCATGCAACAACAGCAGGGAGCCATCCCAACTCCAATTCCTTAGGGGAGGTTTCCTTGGAGTGGAACGGGGCTCATGCCGTCGCAAACCGTTCTGAATCGCCCATTTTTTACTTTCTCGGGTATCATTAAGGGGAAAGGGGGGTGCTTTGACTTGGGTAGCCCCGAACCCACGCACCTAATCCGGTGCATGGGAAGCGCCGTGCCCGTGATCTCCTACTACCTTATCCGGCACTGGAAGTGTGACACGCTTGTACGAGGAGTTGTCGTTGTACATCGAATCGTTCCCCAGCGTAGCGTTCGTCGCGTGATGGTGTAACAGGCCATACTTTTGAGCCCGGCGGCGATGGTTGAATATAGGTGTCTGGTTTGTCATAAAAGGATAGACTGGCACTATCTAGTATCCAAGATGTAGGGGGTATAAGTTTTCATACCAGGCATGTGAAGAGACGTTTCTCAGCATGACGAGCCTTATGCCAGGACAGGTGATCTGACAGTATGCCCTTAACAACTGTCAATATGAATTCAGCAACCAAAAAACAATCCCACCCGTTTTTTTTTTTTTCTTTCCCACCTTGCGTCGTGTAACCGTGCCTGGTCACCATCTATCATCTGCCATCATAGTCATCCGAGATCCGATCCGAGTCACACAAAACCACCAGAGGTGTTACCGTACTATATGTATATAGAATCAATAATACCAAGAAAGGAACCCTCCCAAAAACGAAACAAGACAAACCCCACCCCCCACCTCCCATAGCCCACCGGTAAGAATCCATCTTACCCAGTTAGTATATATAAAGTGAAAGAGGAACCCATGCCCAAAGAACCGGGGACGTCATCGATCGCGAAGCAGGATCTACGATAGACCCGACCCGTTGTTGTATCCATCCGTACCTGGATCTCCAAACGCCGTGCCAAAAAAGAATACCTCAGGTTGGTACTCCGTACAGGGAGGGCATACAATACCTAATCCCAGCCCTGAGCCTGCCCTGAGCAAGCCGTAAACTTACCTAGTAACTGACCTAATGTAGGTACTGTACAGTATGGTCTAGGTTTTGCTCTACCCCCGAAGAAACCCCGTGATTCACTAGCTATTGGATAAGCCTGTCATGTCGGGTCCCCGGCCGATGTGATATATCATATTTTTGTCCTTTACGGTGCCAGAAAAGTCCCCACCCTGCGGTATGACATGATACCGGCTAACTATATGATGGGTGATATGACACGCCTATTTTGGGATAGAAACGGGTTGGGACAGACAGGACAGGATGGGAAGCCGGTACGAGAGTCGATGGCATGAGGCATGGCGGGACATACCCAGATACATGAGAATGGATACATGCGTCAATACTATGTATGCATACAGAACACTGGAGAAGAGGGGAAAGGGATCAAACAGCGGGGAAACTACCTATCTTGTGCCTGCCCCCTTTGTGCTTAGAGGCTGGGCTGTTGTAGTATACACAAGTGGGGAGGTAGGTCCTGTACTCATAGGTTGGTTTCTTGGGTCATGCTACTGGTCAAGCAGAAGCAAGGGGAATCAAGGGAAGTGAGTAAACCTCGAAGCCTGCCCAGTACTCAGACTTTCTTCTGGCCAGGCAAGATCAAGTTCGCTACGAGAAGGACCAAGCATAATGACTAGCTACTAAGAGCTAGTAGAGAACTGGCCTACAAAACATCCACCTAAGTAAGGATGGCAGTTTGAGGTACTCCGTAGCTATGTACGCGATATATCTCTAGACCCGTGCGATCGCCATATCTGACTTGCCATTCATGTATACATGCGTCGCAGATAGACAAAAACGCGAATATACACACCGAAAGAGAGAGGGTCAAAGTATGCATTTCGAGGCCTTTGATGACATGTACTGTACATCCAATTGTCCTCGTCGTAGAGGCAGTTTGAGTCTAGACAGGATATGAGGGGGCAAATCCAATCTTCTTTTAAGGTTTCTACATTGTGGAGACTTGGCAAGAGTAAAAAAAAAAGACAATCCAATTGCATCCTGCCCCACAAACCAATTGTCTTTCTCTGTCTTTCTTGGACTCCTTTCAAACAAGACATGACTGAACTATAAGTTGTGTATGTACAGTATCGAAACCTGAGAATTGAACAAACGAGAAGGAAAAGTTCCCCCACAGACGTTGATCACACGCAGTATCGTAAAGGAAACAGAGAAAAGGAACCCGATTATCCCCACATGAGCGAGAGGGAGAGAGGGGGAAAGGACAAAGTTAAATCCTCACAGGACGAATGAAATGGGATGGATCTTGCCTTCACGATATGAGGGGCACCCGAAGAGATCGACCACGGAGATCGAAAAAGGGCAGTTCGACGGGGAGTGGAGGGGAGGAGGCTGGATAACAGGCAGCACGTAATTGGCAACACCTAATTATGAGTTAACGGACTCTTCCGCCCCCTCAGCACTGTCTTAGATTGTTGTCTGCGTCTTCTCTGCCCAGGTGCATACTCATCACCCTGACTTGATCCCCACTAGGACTATCACACGAATTGAAGAAATCGATACGGTACGGATACACAAGGTTCATGGCTTGCAGGGCCGGTGGATAACATTGCCCCTCTTTCAGTTGTGTCTGCAGCACAGGGGTGGCTTCGACTCAGTTCTGCGAGTTTCCCTTGTGGCCCATCTTCCCCTCATCATGGAGCAACTGGGGGAGAGGGGATTTGGGGAAGGAGTACGGAGTGCAGAGAGCGATAGCCCGGGAGGAGACGACGGTGCAGGGAGCGGCCAAGGAGGAGAAGATAACCATCCACCCCTCGTTCTTTCCTTCTCCCCACTCAGGTCTTACTGCGTACGAAGTAGAAGGAAACTCGGAGATGCGCGTCAGTGGTGATTTGGGCACTGATGCAGTGTGCGCCGAGTGCGGACATATGCTGATCACTTGAGAGAAGAGAAGATGACAACAAGTGTAGTCATTCAACCTATGCCATAGACAAATTCGCACTCCTGCAGATGTGGATATTTCGCTGCTGCTGAGTCTGCTGGTCGATGGTGGACATCATGGAGCCAACGGCACGACCGACGGCCCGGTTGAGGCGCGCGGACAGCAGCAAAAGCAGGCAATAGATGCACGTCAATGCTATCCTGATGGCCGGACCCCCAAGAACCTGTCAGCCTGCCGAGGACTAGACACGAGAGCCACCATCATTGGGGGAGACAAACTGGCGGTAAGAGAATCGCAAGAGAGAGAGGTATGGAGGGGAGAGCCCTTAGCGCAAGATGACAGAGGATTTGTATCGAATTTACAGACGTGTCGACCAAAGAGAAGGTAGAGCCATGACATGCTAACGCTCGACAAGTCCAATCTCAGGCAAAAATGCCCGTTGTGGCAAACATACAGGACGTGATCGATGCCCACTAGGCGGATTACAGTATGCAGGGCGCCCCGACACTTTCAAAAACACGTGAAAATCTCGACCGACTAGCCCTCAAACACCGGAAGAAAGTACGCGCGAGACGAGGAGATACATATAGCGAGGAATCATTATACTAGAGAACATGAAACCACAGACCTGATCTGAAAGATAAGAGTTCGAGTCGTGCTTGGTGTTGTTTAGAGCTTCAGTCTTCCGAAGCCTCTGAATCGGTATCGACATCCTCCTCCATCGAATCAGGCATGACGACGCTGTTGAGATACGTAACCTGCCAGATGAAGTTACCTTATGGTCAGCTACAGGAGAACAATAACGATGGTTTTGTCTCGACGCCCTTGCCACCTCGCAAGGTCTCTTTTGTTAGGTGGTGGGTAATGGTAAGTATTTTGCGCCCGAAGCCACACCGCTGGAGGCTAAGAAGGGAAAGGCAAAGAGGGGACAAGGGGCAAGGAGGAAACACCGTCCGTGTATTGTTGATACGGGTGCTAGGATTCAATGGACGCAGATGCGGGCAAGCGGAGAGAAAGGGATTCGAGTGGCTTACGAAGGGCTCCATGATTTCAACCAGTGCTGCAATCCTGTCCTGGGCATTCGGACTTAGCAACTCCTCATCCGAGAGCGGCCTGCCGATGGTGAAACTGCGCAGACGGAGCAACTGGATATTCTCATTATCGGCATCGTAGCCCTAGACAGAAGGAGAGTTGTTTATCAGTATCGTAATTGGATAAGAACGGGGACCCGCCGGGACGGCGGCATATGCTGAACCATGGAAACAAATGAGCCGGTGCAAAAATCTCTTCGAGGCCAAAGTACTCCAGTGGGACGCCCAAGCAGGCATTTCCGCGCCAGAACCAAGAACGGCACTTGGGAGCTATGTCCCCCGATCAGCGCCTGAGGCAGAGAGACACGCCTGGTCCGGGTCGCTCGTCCGCGGCTGCGCTTACACACCCGTCACAACGGACCAGTCAGTCTCACAGCCATCAAGCACAAGCTGTCAGTGCCTTCGTTCATCGTCAAACAAATGTTTGCATGATTGTATCGGCTGGAAGACGATGTGTGATGATTTCTCGAGCGACTGGCGCGGCAGAAAATCGCTTTTGTGACCCAGAGATGGATGACGCACGACATCACAACATGACTCTTTCACCTGAACCATCAACAAGAGACCATATTCCGTCTTGACGCGACGTCAACAGGTTCTCGATATCGTGCTTCTTATCGCTTCGATAGGGAGCTCTGTTTCCAGTGATGGAACTGATGGCATTGTCGCCCAACACCAATCCCAGGTTCGATCATAACAAGCAGACATAACAATAGGGGCATTGGCCTGTGTTGGAATGGCAGAGAGAGATCCATCTGGGACACAAAGGCCAATAGACATGGGAGCAAAAGGCAAGTGCTCTGAGGTTGCAGCAAAAAGAGTCTCTTGCAAGGGAATAACGCTTACCTTGGGCTTGGTCTTGAGAGCGCTCTCCTTGTTGTGGCTAACAAAGGCTTCTACAGCTGTCTCATTATCATCCGGGATGCCCTTGAATATTTCTTGACGCATTTTTGGCGCTCTCAGAATTTTCTTGAGGCGATGAGAACGGCGATCGATATCCTGTCGAAGACGAGCCAGTCCATCGGCCTCTGGCGCCCAAAGGCCCGAACCTAGAACCCATACCTCTTGTTAGCTCGGCTATCCTGACAAAGTATAATGACCTATGACCTCGCGTGTGCCATCGCTTGCGAAAGACCTATTGAACCTGCCAGACTCGACCGCATCCGGGCGCATAACACGAGCTTCAGCCACAACGTGAGATAAGGAAAGGTCGGGACGGGGAGTGTGCAAGGAACAATGGATGTCTTGAAGAAGGCGAAAGTTTCCCAGTTGCGGTGAGGACAGGCTCGATGGAGACACGTTGAATCTGGCTGGCATGCGACCGTGTCAAAGTGGGTACTTCAACTTGCATAACTCACCGACGAAACTTGCCCCTGGTTGGCAGTGGACGTAGTATGCAGCGTAAGGGCCCTTCTTGCCGGTGCGGGACCTGACAAGAGTTAGCTTATGCTGATGTTCGCCGGGTGTTGGCTAGGCACATACCAAGCTGCTGAAAAGTGCGTCTGTTTAACATTCACAATTAGCTCAACGATGCATCGAATCCTCCAGCCGGGAGGCAGTAAAGATAGTAGACACATGAGCCTACCTTGTACGGAAGAGGGTTTTTGCTGAACCTGATGTCTCTGTGTATGCGAAAGACCTGCGTTAAGACAAATCCACGTTAACTTCTTCGAGTTCTTCCTGCTTTATCTGACATTGAGGGCTCTTCACTTACAAGATCCTTGACAGGCAATTCGGGGATTGTGCCGTCCTGATCTATGATATGCTCTGTGAGAGTCTCGACAAAGGTTTCCCAGTCCTTTTTGGCAGCGCGGTAGTCCGCGTCATGTGCTGTGACCGGGTCATCCGTTAGCTTGGCTCTCGGATACAGACGTTTGAAGCTCGGTCAGAAGTACCTTTCAGCCATTGCCTGTCATTGTTCTTCGCCAAATCTTGGAGAAAGAGAATAGTGTTGGCATGCAGAACATTATCTTTGTAAGCTACAGCGCCAGGGTCTCTGGCCTTGGGCTTCTTGATGAACACTTCTTTTCCTGGTCCAAGGCCGGTTCTTACCCCTTCCCTCCATAGCTCTTTGCCGGCCAATGACACAGTCGTGTCTTCTTCCGCACTATTTGACCCATGTATTCTCGAGCCAGCGGTGCTAGATTGCTTTCCGCGGCTCTGGCGGCGTTTAGGCGCAGAGCTATACTCCTCTTCTTCAGACTCAAGCTCCTCATCGCTCGGGGCTGATGGCGATGCTTCTTCAGCGAAGTCTGAGCCGGAGTCGGAAGATGTGGGGACGCTTGTGTCGGTGTCCTCGTAGTCGAGGATTTTCGGCGCAGCTGCCTCTTTGGAGTCAAGCTCCGGATCTTCAGACGGCTCCTCTTGGAAATATTTGCTCTTTTTTGTGGTGGATTTAACCAGCTTCTGAGCAGGATCGGTATCGTACTTTTGTCTCTTGGGCTCCGTTCTGGATGCTTCGGAGAGTCTGGCGGACACGCGCCTTTTTGGCGCGGCTTCTGGAGCTGCGGCTGCCGCGGGAACGGGCCGAGACGATCGACGAGGCATGGCTAAGGACCAGAGTTCTGGAAGTTGATTGTCGCAAGAAGACGGTGATGATGCTTATGGTGCGGTTCGTCGTCTCTGGAAACTATAAGTTACTACGTGGGTGTGAAGGGGAGTTGCAACTGAGATGGCAAATTCCGCGGAGGAGGAAAATCCGATGATGACGCTAGAAAGAATTGACAGCCCGATGGATCGTCTTCTTTAGGATGGACTGGGGCTTATGGGGGGGAGGGGGGCGTGAAGGGGGGTAGGGATACGCCGGTACGGAGCGTCGGAGGCCCTCCGTCGTTAGCGACAAATTGACTTTCCAGCGGTTCGAGCGGACAACAAGGGACCAGGAATAATGAGACCAGGAGGCTGGTAACTTCTGGGGCCAATTTTCGCGTGGGAAAAGGCGGCGAGTTCGTTTCATTTGCTTCCCGCTCCGCTAAACTATCCTTAGCGTTGCCGCCGCCGCTCGGCGACGTCAGTCCGTCTTTTTTTTCTTTCCCTTTTCCTCGTTCGAGAAGGATTGACAGGCGCAATAGTGTGACATTCAGAGTTATCTCACAATCGCACAGGTTTTTTGTCACCGATTTTCGGCCGTGGGGTTTGCAGTAGATAGGTAATCTATTGATCGTTTCTTGTCAGCGGACTGCGGATATCTCTTGTTTAGTCGAATCAGGAGGAGGAAGGAAAAGAGAAGAAGGATCACCAGAGTTGCCCCGCCTTAGATAGTCGGTTTCTGACGGTTCTGGGGTAATCAAGAAGAATTGTTGAGACCAATACCATAGTGAACAAGGGAGGAAAGCAAGCGCAGACAGAGGCTTATCATGACTGGTCCCGAATCCCGCCCAATCCCCGAAGCTTTTGAGCGTCGAAAGCGCAAGATCCTTGCCGAATTATCCATTCCTGACGCAGAGTATACTGATCTCTCACCCAAGGGGTCGGTGGATGAAGGCATCCGTGAGCTGATCGATGATATCAATACCTTGCCCGGACTAGTAACCACTAGCAGCTGTGCAGGGCGGTTCAGTGTTTTCCTAGAGGGGAGAAAGAAACAGCATCAGCAACAATCGTCAGAAGTGCAGCAGAGACAATTCGTACCTTCAGGGGGCAAAGGAGCCGGGAAATGGCTGTATGTCTCCCATGACGCGTTGAAGGAGTATGGAGAAAAGCAAGGTGAAGACGAAGATGAGGAAGAGGAGAACAACAAGAGACCGCTGCACCGCTTGTTCGGGATGATTCCTGGAGATGGGAAACCGCCCAAGCTGGACGGATCCGGTCAAGCCCCGCGTCTCGTACGCTTCTCCTATGAGCCGATGGTAAATGCCCTTCAGTGCTATTTCGTTCCTTCCTTTTTGTTGCTATCCACCTCCCCTCCCCTGGCGACTTTGTATACATCTTTCATTCGAATTACTTTTCTCCTCAATCATCTACAGCATGCGGTCAATGATCACAGTCAAGGTCTTCTAACCTTACCTAGATTCTCCATATAATGGCAGCGACCCTCCACCACGCCAACCCCGTCCTCTCCGCCGCCTCCAGCTCCGGGTTCCGCGAAAGCGGACTCCAGAGTCTTCGCTGTCTAGATGCGGACGACGCGGACGGTCCCAGTCCCATCGTTGCTGTCCGCTCTGCCGGCATGGCTCTGGAGTCAGTCATCGGGTACTGCGAAGAGAAGCAGGATGACGACGACGACAACGACGACGACGACGAGTCCGAGCCCGTCATTCGCAGTTTGGTCACGGAGGAGTACCTGGAAATGTTGATCGCCATCTCGAACGAACGGTTCGTCGTCAATTCGGAACGCAAGGAACGCTTCCGGTCAAGTCTGGTGGAAATGTGTTCCGCGGATCATGCTCCAGGCGCGAAGGCGAAGGGGAAAGCGAGACCCGTGGGCTGGGAGGATCCTGCTGCACGCAGGGAGAGGATGAGGGCGGAAGGACTACGGAAGAAGCAGCAACAGCAGCAACTCGAACAGACGAGCCGAACAGAGGAAGGAGATGGTGGTGCGATTGGCAATTTCGATTTATTCATTGGAGACTAACTTTGGCGATATTCGAGATTGACAGCATAATAGAAGCAAGAACATGAAAAATCATGAGATATTAAGGCTTTGCCAGGCTCAAGAGAATAAAAAAACAAGAAGAAAACAAGAAGAACGATACATTCATAGCTTAAAGGCAGTGTACCCGTGTAGCATGTGCTCTTCAACCGATAGCACTTCATGAAATGACGTTCTGAAATTCGTGCAGGGGAAATTCAACCAGTAATCAAGTCGCAAATACAAGCAAAGTAGAGAGATGCTGGAAAATAACAACTGGAAAAGAAATAGGGGGAATCTCGTAAGTAAAAAGACAAATATGTCGACCTAGATTATGGATGGACCAATAGGCACCACGCACCATATGCAAATCTAGATCCAACCTGTGCAGTAGAGCAAAGTCAATTGTTGGGCACGCAAGAAAGTCAAAAGCATTGCAGTTGAAGGATTATGAGCGCTGTACTTCTTGAACTTCGGTGTTGAATCGCTCGGATATCAATCGTCGAAGACCGGGACATTGACTGGAGAAGATCTGGTGAAGCGGTGTCCTGGAAAACCATTACGGCCTCTGCCATCTGAATGAAGAAGTAGCCTGGAATTCCAAGGGTTGTCCTCAATGCCGCTGTAAGAGTAAGCGCGCATGTGCCATGAGTCACTTGCCCGACGTGGAGGAGGCGAGAACACATCGTACTGGGACAGACTGTCTGTGTCTGGTGACATGACGCTGCTCCGAGTGCTGTGACTCCCGAAAGATAGCTTTCTGCCATGGGGGTTTCTGGATCCGCTAGATAGAAGATCAAACAAGATGTTGGTCTCATGACTGACCGCGTCCTGCCAGAGCGTGCGCTTAGCAACTTCCTCGGGCCATTCGAACCAGATCGGGCCAAAGGGCGAGATGAGGCTGACATTATCCGAGGGGAAGTTGTTTGGAAGTTCTGGGTGAGACATGGCGTGGATCGAGCCCTTGGAGATTAAGTCGACAATAAACTGAATACAGAGTTAGAATGTAGGCTGCCACACTATGCCGTGACATTGAAGGGAGTAAGAGGTCTAGAAGAGCAGGCTCCCGATACACATACCTTGTAAGTGTGCTCGTCGATGTTAGGCATAGTAGCCAATGTGTCAAAGGGAAACCATCTACTGATGTCCGATAGTTTATTCAATTCAGCGAAGTTCTCTGCGTTGACACACAAGGTATATCTCTGGCGCTCGTTGAAGCCTGGACATTCGAGTCCGGAACGAAGAAGGTCATTCAAGAGATGCTGGTCCAGACCCACTGTATTCGCTCTACTCATGCGAGTAAGAAGAGCCATAACCTGGCGATTAACCAAGTCAAAGAGCAAGTTACGATCATGGACCGTGTAAAGGTCAACGGCATACCAGGGGAACTGAAATTTTGTTAGCAAATCTACTTTGCATGAATCTGCCCAGTCTCACTTACCTTGTAGAGGGTACTGATGGTGGACTCATAGGTACGCTGAGGGCATTTAGTACTGAAAGGAGACTAGCGATGGTCAGGCTTCGCAATCAATGAAGATGGTTCCGGGGATTGCTTACTCTGTGAGGCATCTCCGCATGACGAATAGCACCGATAATCTCCTCACTGGTGAAGAAGCCGGCAAAGCCTGTGGAATAGGGATCATTGTTACGGAGAACAGTGGGCATACCTGCCTGCCAGTGGACACACTTTGCACGAGGAAAGAGATCGCGCAGCAGGGCATCCTGAGAACTAATTTCGACGTCAACGTGTCTGTTCCCCAAGCGAGGCGGACGGCCTGTTTCCTGGATACGATCAATTCTCTTCACGGTCTCTTTAGCATCTCCTGGTGTCGCAAATTCCACATAACAATCCATTGTCTTTGCAGTTGAACGCTCCATTATGATGTGGACGGCTTGACCCGAGCTCAAGCGAGACTGGCGTCCCACGAATTGTAGTATCTCTTGCTTGGTGATAGAGTAGGGAATCTGTTCCGGCTTTAGATGTGTGCTTCTGAAGGCATGAATGGCCACTTACATTGGAGATCTTCATAACGCCCGCGTCTGGTGGCTGTTGCAGGAGGGTAAGACTGCCGATTGGCATCTCGTCAGGCAAGCCACCTTTCGCAACGGCCTTGAGAATATTCTGAGCCTCGTGTAGATGGTTCCCGACGACCACAGAGGAGTTCCGACGATGGGTCAGAGGTGAACCAGCCACTCCATATTGGCAACGTGAGTGACCCAGGGGAACCGGGGTGGGTGAGTTTGAAGAATATGGTGTCAGAGACAAACTCCCCATCTTCGCAGTCAGCAAATCTCCACAGGCAGCCCGAGAGTCGAGTGCCAACTCCCCAGTGAGGCCACTTGAAAGTCGCCTGTGGCTTGCAGTAGGGGAGAAGAGCTCTCTGGGCGACGCCATATGGTCATTGTAATGAGGTTTTGGAGTAGCAGGGGGGTTGGTATGACCAGACTGCGCCATCTTGACAAGTAGTCGGAGGTGAGATGTGTAAAGATAAAGAAGAAGAAGACAAGTTATGGTGAGATGTGAAGAAATAAATTCAGCCTGGATCCTGGTTGAGTAGCCTGAAGAGCGACAATATACAGCTTGCGCAGCCGCGTTTCATCTATTCACCTCAGGTGCTGAAGCGCAGCAATGACCACAGCGTGTTACCGAACTGTAAGAAGGGTTTTACTGAAATGAACCATACCCAAGGGTACTCCTTACCTTGTTGCGGCAGATATGAGGCGTAGGTCATCATTTGAAGCCAGGAAGGTGAGTAATGTAACAGTCAGATAATGAGGCTATTCAGAGTTTTATGTGAAGGGGAACATAGCTTAACGGCTCGATAGGGTATCATTTAGTGTAGGACCTACAAATGAAAGGTTCTAAGCCTCAAGTAACATAGAACTGTAAGCTACACAATGCCATTTATAGCGGCAGGATCATTCACTAGTACGCCAGAGCGAGTCTGAAATGAGGTAGCATCGGTAGAGTCGTCTGGTCATGTTCGGAGACATTCACTCGACCTACCGGCCTATTAGGCATCAGTCAGTCATGAAAGCAGCCAGAAAAGCACCATAGCGTCTCAGCTAAGTGAGCAAGCAGCCGATAGAGGCGCACCTAGAGATTTCCACCATGTCAGCGACATAAATGCCCGTGCGGCGCGTTTCTGGTACTCCACATCTACACTTGTCAGAAGAACTATACTGGATATTCTTGGAAAGAGCTGTCTATGCGAAAAATGGACACGATTCAGGGATGGAATGACAACTGGAAATTTGTAAAGGAACAAGCATAGAAGAAACACAGCGATTTCCTAGCACCAGCCCAGATCGCCTGTACAATGATTGCTCCTGGGAAAGGAAACCTGATTCATTTAGAACAAGAACAGTGGCATTAAAGCATACATTTAGTCGAACTGTGACGCGATGTTAGCGGTCTTCCATCGTAGTGCTTAGCCTGGATGCTTACCGGTGTCAAGAACGACTCAGCCACGAAACGGGCACGGGCGTTCAGCTAAAGACCATTAGCATGAGGTTGTCTCTCGATGAGGAGTTCGAATCTTACGAAAAGCTTCATCTCCGAGATTTCCTTGTCCACCTCTTCCATAAACTCGATCACGAAATCCACAATCTTATGTTTCAGCATAGCCTCGGTATGGAAGTTCGTGATAAGGAACGATATATCATAGCCCTCCACCGGCTTCCTCCGGAGAATCAGGAAAGCATCCGCACGCTGCGTTAAGAACCTCGCAAATTTATGCACTAAGATATGTTCGATTTCATCGGCCTGTTTGACCTTGAGGGACACGCGGACGGAGTTGACCGAGGGTTCGATGAAGGTGCGTTCGTCCTATTCAACAACGAAGATCACATTAGATAAGTACAGTATCGACATCAATCTCGACCGAGAGCACGTACGGAGTTCCGCGAAATGACCAATGGGTTGAGCAGAAGCTCAGGAGAGCTTGCTGCTTCGATCTCCGGCACATTGTGCCTTTCCGAAGTCTGGCTGGCGAAATTGGAGATAGCGAGCGCCGCCGAAAGTGACGAGCGAACACATTGAAGATACGGTCGGAGACTTGTACTCTATTGTAGCGTGTATGAGCATCCTAAACTAGACACAGCCCACTACTCTGGTTGTAGTGCTCGGGATGTAGCGCTCACCATTGTGACGTAGTTCCAATGCTAAGACTCTGGTGACTGAATCAGAATAAAATAGCCTCACAGATTGTGAGCGTTCATATATTGAAAGATGTAGAGGTTGATGCTTAGCAGAAGAATAATCCCGCCTGTTGTTGTTGTCGCTTCGCTAAAGGAGGCAGGTGATGATGCTACCTACTCAGCACTCAGGAGGGGCGGTCCCCGCAGGGCGGTGATGCAGCCTGCTGTCCATTACCTCACCGCCTGCCCCACCGCCGCCGCGGAGTTAACTGACGCAGTCATCACCCATTGCCTCATCATTGCCGCCAGAGCTTAGAACTCATCGATTGTTGCATCTCGAATTACATTGAAGCAAGCTAAGATGGCTTCCATACCAGGTGCGTGATGACTCCTGAGAGATTACACCCCAACTTCGAGTTCCTCATTCCGCTACTAACGCCATGACAGTGATTATCAAACACCAGGGCAAACGCCACGAGGTCGAGCTCGATCCTTCCCTGAACGGTGAAACACTGAAGTACCAGCTCTTCTCCCTTACCGGCGTCGAACCCGAGCGACAGAAGATTTTGGTTAAGGGTGGTCAACTGAAGGATGAGACTCCATTGTCTTCTCTCAACGCCAAACCAGGGCAAACGTTCATGATGATGGGCACACCATCTGGTAACCAGGGCGTTGCCGACTTGGGCCGACCAAAGGAAGTGATGAAGTTCTTGGAAGACATGACGGAAGCAGAGGCTGCTAAGGCCGAGGGCGCAACTCCTGCTGGTCTACAGAACCTTGGCAATACTTGCTACCTCAACTCCACCCTTCAGGCTCTGAGGGGCGTTCCCGAGCTTCAGGAGGAATTGCTAAGGTATCGACCCGCTGCGGGCTCTAGCGGGGGCTCCAGTCTTGCAGGACTTAGTAGCCTCGGTCTAGGAGGTCTGGGTGCTTCGACCGATCTTACTGCTTCTCTTCGGGATTTGTTCAAGCAGATGTCTGAGACGCAGGAAGGCTTCCCGCCACTTATGTTCCTTAATGCACTGAGAAATGCCTACCCGCAGTTTGCTCAAAGAGACCGGAATGGACATGGATATGCTCAACAAGATGCTGAAGAGGCTTGGTCACAGATCGTGACACAGCTCAGGAACAAGCTGGTTATCAAAGAAGGTGAAGGGGAGTCTGCGACGGAGGTGTCGTTTGTGGATAAGTATCTTGCTGGACGATTTGAGTCGGTGACGGAATGCGACGACTCCGCAGCCAAGGAGGTTGGCGAGAAGCCCACTGAGAGTACGGATGTGTTTTACAAGCTCGACTGCCATATTGGCAAGGAAACAAATCACCTGAGCGACGGTATCATGGCCGGTCTCGAAGAAAAGATCGAGAAGCACTCCCCAACTCTGGACCGCGATGCCGTCTACACAAAGCGCTCTCGCATAGCGCGCTTGCCCAAGTATCTCACCGTGCATTTTGTCCGATTCTTCTGGAAGCGCGAAACCCAGAAGAAGGCCAAGATTATGCGGAAAGTTACATTTCCCCACGAGCTTGACGTGGTTGACTTTTGTACCGAGGAGCTGAAAAAACAGCTTATTCCTGTCAGGGACAAGGTTCGAGAGATCCGCAAGGAGGAGGTGGATGTTGAACGGGCTCGCAAGCGCCAGAAGCTTGCTCATCGCCAAGAAGAGGACAGGAAGGAAGAAGGCGAATCCTCCAGCATGGAGCCCATGCAGAAGAAGAAAGCAGCCGAAGAGCGCAAGGAGGATAAGGATGAAGCCATGACCGACGTATTCAAGACCGACGCCGAATACGAGGCCGAGAAAACCGCATCGATCCTTGCTGCCAAGAAGGAATTGTCCGCATTGATCGATCAGAAGCTTGCGGCTGATGCTGGAGCCAACACAACTGGTCTTTACGAGCTTCGTGGTGTGATCACCCACCAGGGTGCCAGCGCTGATAGTGGTCACTATACAGCCTATGTGAAGAAGCAGGACAAGGACAATTCTGGCAGCGCTGAAGGCAAGTGGTGGTGGTTCAATGACGAGAAGGTGACCGAAGTGGATGGAGAGAAGATCGAGACTCTCGCTGGTGGTGGTAAGTCCTTCCTTTCAAAGTGTCTCACATTAGTCTCTAACATGGCCCACCAGGTGAATCTCACTCTGCTTTGATCCTCCTGTACCGTGCAGTGGAAATGCCTCGTGAGGACTGAGCAGTCTCGCCGCAGCAGGATATAATGATTGATGCGATAACTACACCTTCATAGATGACGAACTGAATTGATACTTAGCTTGGCTGCTCACCAGAGCAGAATACATTACTTCTCTATAAATATCCTTATCCAGGTTTGGGTACTGCCACCGACTATAATGCTGCCAAGGATTCTTCGTCTTTTCGTACCCTTGCTAAATCAACTCGACTTGTAACCAAATAGAGCGTACACCAAGCCATGTGCGATATCTCTGTAGGCGCATGTAGTTGTAAATTAGATCACGTGACGGATACCGGCGCTTCTCTTATCTAATCACCGATCCTCCGCATTGGAGACGAGCTTCCCAGCAATGCACTTCATCGCAACTCCGATGCTGAGCAGTATGTTCCGTCTACATAGAGTCTGCCTATTGCAGGCGCCTCATCCTGCGACCGTATCACAATCAGTTGCACGCTATGCGCGTGCAAACACAAGAGCTCTGAATACTGCCGCCCAGCCATCGTCCCTCCGATCGTCGCGATGGCCGCGACGATTGCTCTACATGGCAATCTTCGGCACCTGTGGCGCAGCCTTCATAGGCAGCTGGATGGATGAGAATGTCTCCGCGCCCGCTCTACCAGGTACGCTCGAGGATCAGGGACGACTCGAGGCGATCAATTCGAAATTCGAACACTGGCTGCCGATCGTGCAGAGGTTGCGAGCGAACCCCGACTACGTGGAGGCCGATGTCTACGGCAATTTCTCCGAGGACGAGAAAACGCAAAGGCTCACCTCCGGTCCGCTGCGAGGGAGTAGAGGAATAGGACTTCAGGTACGTTGCTTGTCCGACCCCCGGGCTGGGATGATGCAACGATCCAGACCGGACGCAGTGAAACCTCAATGCATTCCCTGGCGTGGAGCTTGGCCTGGTTGGACCATCTTTTTTGACTGACGGCTGAGTACAGAGGGTC